GGCAAAGGGGCTTTTTTTTTTTTAAAAATTTTTGGGAAAAAAAAAAAAGGGGAATTTTTTTTTGCCCCCCCCCCCCCCCCCCCCCCCCCCCCCGTTCTTGCGTCTTCCTCTAGAAAATGTGTCGCTGCATGGCTTCTCTAATCTGCCTTTCCTTGAGTCTCAGTACGAGTTGTTCTTCTTCATTTTCTGAAGAAAAACAGTGACATGCAGGTCCGGACGAGACCGTCCTCGCGAGTCCAAACTGCATCAGCGGAGCCTCCTACTATGGAAATCGATCGCCATTTATCTGTGAAGAACATAGTCACGAGACAGAAATAAGGCCCATGCTTGGAGAAGGAACATCAAAACTACATTCGGAAGTTTCTCGTGAAGGAATTTCCTCGATTATCCACTGAAATGTTGCATATCACTATGCTGCTATCATCAGGGGTCAAAAACCCTGCAGAGAATGTTTTCATGCATGAGGTGGGAAAGGGAATCGAGTCGCTTGTCCTTTGGTCGGAATGTTGGCCTCTATGACAGACTCCACGCGAAGTTAAACAAACCTAGCGGTTTGTCCTCACCCCAAACTGCGTTTTAAGGTTCTGGCAATACGGCTATTATTGGAATAGAGCGGCGACTAGAAAGAAAACCAACTCCTCCTCCCAAAACCGTTTCAGACTTTCGCAAACAAATCGCCGAGCTTTCCTCGCCTCTGATTTCGCGACCCCATAGGATCTGCTTGAAGAGCGTGGGACTGCATGATCAACGCATTTCTGCGGTGCACTTTCCGCTTGCAGTGTAAACCCAGTGCAGTTTAATATTTCTGAAATACTGAATTCTGTAATCCATCGTCTCTGGCGGATTTTCTAGAGCCCCCTGCTAGTCCCTTGGCGTGCACCAGAGACGCCTTCTTGGAGCCTCCTCCCCTAGAAGGGGGGGTACACCACTACCACGCCATTGCGCGCTGCAATATCGACACCTTCTGCTGATATCCGGCCAGTTCCGAGCTGTAGCGTAGAAGAATTGTCACAGAAGCTCTCACAAAAGTCAACCGGTGCATGATACGTATAGACTTTGTCCGGACCTGTTTCTAAACTTTGTTGCGTATCGTATGCTCGCTCGGCATACTCTCATCTAATCCCCAAAAGCAAAGCGAAGTCATGCGACGGCGGCAGTTAGCATTTGGTCGCCCGACACGTGATGAGCCTCCTCTGTAAGGCTTACAATGTTCTTCGTGCGTTCATACTCCTACCAGGGGAGAGGCACATGCGATGACGCTTCCACATGGCATCTTCCAAAGCTGCTCTCGAGCCCCTGTCTCTCGCGTACTATTCCAAAGCAAACCCCCCAGACAGCAGAGCATGACATCGGCGTTGGCTCCTGGAAAAGGCTAGCCGCTGTCATAGTATGTGTTTTTATTTTTCTAACTCGGTCATATCAGATATTGTCTAAAACACATATTGGGTGGACCAAGGGAGAGAGGGCCCGAACTTACAGCACAGATTCTTTCTCCGTCTCATCCAGAATGATACAGCGTAGAAGCAAGTGCAACTCAATGATGTCCGATTTTGAATCGCCGTGTACATTTGTCCTATTGGCGAAGAAAGCCTGTTCACTTTTTAGGGGGATTTGTCCCTTCCAATTCATTGTACGGTATGATGACTGCACTAGGCTAGCGTAGTACCCAAGGGTAACGCACAGTGCGTCAGAAGCAGAGCTCAGTAGGTCCACGTGTAATGCATCTGGCCCCTACTAGAGGCGGGGTAGCTTGGTGTCCACCTCATCAAAGGGAAAAACGATGCATTATGTGTTTGGACACAGCACACGTAGTTTTATCTCAGTTCAGAACCTTCACATCGGCTTGATTTGCCAGTTGCGATGTGATCCACGCATTTCCCAAGCTCAAGATTTTTACTTATCCCAATTTAAACTGAACACCCAAATCCCATGATTGTCAGCAACGGGGGATTCCTTTAACTACAATACGAAAGGACTCAGTCTACGGGATGGTCGTTAGGCGATACATACGTAGCACTGCATCCGAAAGCGCTCAGGACACAGACTCCCGAAACGCTGTATTCAGAACTAGTGAGCCCAATAATTACAAGCCCGGCATTTACACATTGAATGATGACTAGCGATGCTCACCTACTGCCGACTTGTCGTATCAGTATAGTGCCTTACGTACTCCTTCACTACCTTTGCGTTTTAATATGTAACCGAAAATGATATTATTTTTACAATTATGCATGATGGTCCTATTACACACACGAACTACAGGCCAACTAAGGTTTGGACAGAACAAAAGTGGTAGGCAAGTTCCCTCTATATATACGGATAACTTATCTCAGTAGAGTTGCCCTTCACCTACAGTCACTTACCTTGCAACCTTCTGGTTCCTTTCTCACCAATCTCTCGGAATTCTCTTTCAACATGCACAATCATTCGTCTTCCACGGTGGCAGTCCTTGTCCTGCTCACATTCGCATGCTGTTTGTCGTCCACTAACTGCATCCCCACCAGCGTAGACTCTGGGTACCGTCTGAATCCTCCTGTGCCGCACAACCGGAGACTTCTCGACCGACCCAGATTATTACAAGATACTTCAGTACGCAGCAGAGAACTGTCCGAGGACTCCTCATCTCGGATCATTGGCGGAACTCGTTCCAGCAATCTCGCCCCTTATATGGTCGGTCTGTATTGGAGGTTCGCCGAAGGAAAGAACGGCGCCGCCCTCTTTTGCTCTGGGGTTCTCATATCCGAGTATTGGGTCGCTACTGCTGCTCACTGCGAATCGGGCATTCTCTACAACAGGGCGTTCCTCGGTGCCGAAATGGGAGGCAATGGGGTCGAAATTGAAATTGAGAAAATCATCAAACCCAGACAAAACGGCCCTCGTCACTTTCGATATAACCGTGACATTGCATTCGTCAAACTGGGAACGCCAGCTCCGGTGGGATCAAAGTTTGTTCGCGTGAACATTGACTCCTCGCGACTGGTTGGCAATGCGATAGTGGCAGGCTACGGCGCAAAATCGCGAGGAAGAAATGGTCATTTCGCGCCTCTTGATGAAATCTTGCACAAGACTGAGGTATCTATGGTGCCATTTAAAGAATGCAAAAAGCAATATGCGAGGCTGAGACAACCTGTGTGGCTGTCGTGGAAGATGACTTGTGCCGGCAGGGCAGGGGCTGGTCCTTGTGACTCTGACTCGGGCGGACCGTTGCTGAAGTATGATAACATGGGTAGACCGGTATTGGTCGGACTTGTCTCTGCCAATGTTGAGTGTGGCGGAAGGACACCTACAATTTTCACTCGGACGGTCGGGTATCTACGGTATATGAGAAAGAGCAACATTCCATTTGACGAAGGGCCGAAATCGTTGCTCTAGGTTCAGTGTGGATAAGATGGACGTTGTCCCCACTTTAAAATCAAGCTAATAGATAATAATGAAGAGACTATGTCGTTGACATCCGCATATTGCAAAGGCAGAGTACAACAGTGACTGGTGAGAGATTGAGCTACGTACTGAAAATGAAGGGAAGCTGACTTGAAATAGAATGTAAAATTGCACACTTTCTCCTGAAGCAGAGAAAGAGTGAAATCGAATGCGTAGAAATGCGAGAACAATGTCTCAGTCTACTGTCTATCGGACCATTTTTCTCATATGAGGACACTTGTCGACTTTTTTTTTCTTGACTTGCGCTCGACAAGAAAGAAAAATGTACCTCCCCACCGCAGTTGAGTTGTGCCTTGGGACTAGAAAGAACTTTGTGAGAATTGCATGTTCTTCCTGGTCGTTTTAGATATGTCTGGAGAAGAAGCTTGTTTAAACCACCTTCAAACCGATGAAAAATAACTTCGAAACCAAAACGCCAGTTTAAAAAGGGAACTAGGTACTCAATCTGCAATACATTGCAGATTGAGTTATCTTTCTACGTATTCAAAGCTGCTATCCCGGCTTTCTGCGAGACGCTACTGCCGAAAACAAGCACGTTAAGGAAATAGTGTTCTAGGAAGCTTTTTGATTGCTCAATTTAAATTATACATTTTTGCAATAAAAAGAGCTGTCCTCATATGAGGACAAGCTCCGGTCGGATAAACACTAGGGTATCCAGTAGGTACAGTATTTTGAAGTTTGGGAAACGAACTTGTTTCTAGGAGGGGAAACGGCTGAAGTATACACGCATTCTTCCCTTTAAAAACGATAAGGAAGATTGTATCATGCTGCTCAAGATATAAGAGCTTGGTGCGTGAGACGGAGCGAGCAGTAATTTATACAATTTGTCTTGAAGATGGAATTTCTGCTGCCAGTCAAAAAGTACATACTGTACGGTTTGATCAGAAAACGTACACGTGTGACATTAACCTAATCCTTGTGCATTTAGATCAGGTTTGGATCAGGTAGATTTGCATCCAAGATGGGACACCGGCACTTCGTCCACTCTCCGCAGATGAAGATTACACGTCAAAGAGCCAGTGGAGGTGTCCAGGTTGCCTTGAGTCTGTCGACATCGACGTCTGAAACAAGGTGTTTGTCTTCGGTGCACGCTCACGCTACGATGTACGGGGAGTGGCCCTTTCGTCTTTCTCCATCATCCTCGCGCCTCAAAAAAGTCTCTTGTTCCAAGAGAGCCAATCACTTTTATCGCAAGGCACCCGAGGTAACAATGCATGTCTTTCCGTCGACAGTCTCCCATGCATCAATTCAGAGGGCCGCCAGAAACCGCAGGCACAAGCTGCATTGATCATCACATGGTGAAACTACATACAGTTCGGAGAGAGTGCTGTCTGACTCTGCTTATCTACCCTCAAAACTCCCTGACCAAACCAATATACCGTTGGACCCACCGCCGTACCTGAAAAGCATACTGCTCTGTGACAGCGCTGGGGCACCTCGTGTCTTGACCGGAAACACAAGTCTGCCATCCATGAGATCGCCTTGGATATGCGACGCTCTGAGCCCGGAGGAGCAGGTCAAGCGTACTGACCGGATTGCCGACCTGGAAGAAAAAATCTCCAGTGTCCCTGATGCCCGCCATATGACCGAACTGGCAATGCTTTTGACTCAGCAAGATGCATGTGAGCCTGCGCGCATCATTGCGCTTTACGAGGAAGCCATCCAAACCTCTGTCAACAGCACAGCCAAGATAAACCTCGCTATTATATTGGCAGACGGCTGGGGCGTCGATCGCGACTTGCATCGCTCAAGATCGCTAATTGAAGATGTTATCTGTCTGAGTGTGTTTGGCGACGATGTTTCCGGCACGTTCCTTTCTGATGAACCATTCGGATCTATATATCGCCTAGCGTTGCTGTATGAAATGAGCAAGGACGCGGCCGTGCATGATATACCCCGTGCAGCAGAGCTCTATTAGCTTGTCATCGAAACGGACTATGACTATCGGAGGGCGGGTAATGCGTGCGTACGGCTTGCTGACTTGCACGTATATGGTGCTGCAGGCATTGAGGAGGATTTGCGCTTCGCAGTCACTCTGTTGGAGAGCGCAATTGAAGATCCGATTGGGAACCGAGACGACTCCGCCGCTGTGCTCCGCTTGGCTTCTTTGCTGGAATCCAGTGCTGTTGGTGGTCTCCAAGACGAGCGCAGAGCGGCAAGTTTATATGAGAAGCTTATCAAGGTCCGCCCTAATGAGAGCGCAATGCTGCGACTGGGTATCCTGTATCAGCGCGGAATTGCCGGACAAGGAGCCGACGCAAGCCGGGCAAAACATCTTTTCAGCGAAGCAGTTCGTCTCTACGACTCTCTCGAGGCACTTGGTAGGTTGGCCCTGCTGATGGATGAAGGTGCACATGGCTTAGATCCCGATCCCGTTTATGCAAGAGAGCTGTACGAGCGCGCCGTGGCTATGAACCATGTGTTTTCGATGAAGAATTTCGCTCAGCAGCTTACGCACGGAGCTTTCGGGGTTAGCCCAGACCCGCCGAGAGCTGTTGCTCTGCTGGAGCAATGCATATCACAGGCGAAAGATGTAGAAGCTATGAACATATTAGGTATTCTCTGCGAAGATGGGGCCATAGGTGTACCAGTTGATGTGGAACGAGCGCGAGTCTTGTATCAGATGGCCATCGACGAAGGTGAATACCCACCCGCAGTGAACAACTTGGCCGTTCTACTCGAAGCAGGAGATCATGCCTCCCCTGAAGATATGAAACGTGCAGCAGAGCTTTATCAGCAGGCTATAACCGCAGGGAGCGATCCTCATGCCATGCACAATTTTGGATTGTGGTTGCTTCGGGGCGGTGACGTTGTTAGCAAGGATGTACCAAGAGCAGTGGAATTACTACAGCGAGCGGCCGAAGAGGGTAGCCACACAAACGCCATGGTCGTATTGGCTGGCATTGTGCTATACGGGGCGAACGAAGTCCCGCAAGATAAATTGTATGCTGAAGAGCTTCTGGAAAGAGCCATCGCGATGGGAGATGTCGGAGTGGAATCTGTGTTTCACTTAGCTGTCGCCTACGAGGAAGGAAAGCTGGGCTTTTCTGTAAATAAGGAACGTGCGGTAGAGATCTATGAACGGCTTATTAAGGAAGAGAGCCACCCAGAGGCAATGTTAAATCTTGGCATCTTGCTAATGAGGGGCGATGTAAAGGTCCGGGGGAAGCGTTCAATGGAACTTTTAGAAGAAGCAATGTTATGTCAAAACGAAGAGGTGTGCCATGAAGCTCGTTACTTCCTTGCCGTTCTGACTGAAGAGGGGAGACCACCCAATCAGGATGGGGATACAGGCGTTGAAAAGGACTCAATCCGAGCCAAAAGTCTCTACGAGCAATTAATCTCCACGACGGATTTTGTTCCAGCGCTATATCGTCTCGGTCGTCTCTTGAGGGAAGGAGCCCCAGGAGTCTCTCCTGATTCTCGAAGGGCGGTCGAACTGCTTCAACAGTCAGTCTCCAAAGGTGGTAGCATTGACGCATTGATCATTTGGGCGGAAATTCTTGAGAACGGCGCTGACGGGGTTTCCCGAGACGTGAAACATGCTACGCAACTATACGAAGACGCAATCGCGAAGGACGCAGATCCCCGTGCAATGTATCATCTGGCCGCGTTGCGGCAGCGAAACTTGCAAGATAATAGTAACGGTCTCATGGTTGCGGTACAGTTATATGAACGAGCTATTGACGTGGGCGATCATGTTGGCGCAATGGTAAAGCTGGCGGGAATTTTCGAGTATGGCGCGGAAAACATTCCAGCTAATCGCATTCGCGCCATCAAGTTGTACAAAGAAGCGGCAGTGCAGGGATGCAGTGTAGCAATGTCCCAGTTGGCTACACTACTTGAAACGGATGTGGATGAGAAAGCGACAAGAAGCCCAGATTTGCTCCGATCTGTAGATTGGTACTGCCGCGCCATTCAGTGTGATGCAAGATCGATGGCTCGGTTTACTGTGATCGCGTCTCTATCTACCTTATGTAGGGATGGTAGCGATCCGTAGGCCGGCGGCGATCGTGGTGAGTTGATCGCTGTTGTACGTGTGCAACGTGTGTGTATATGGCTCTCATGACTGCTGACGCATTGCTGTTGCGGCGTCGACGTTTGTTTTTATGGCTCTCATGACACTCCCCCTGTCGACGGCGCTGCAGTTTTGCCGTCTGCAGTCGTGTGGTTGCTGAGCTGTAGTTTGGGGAGGAGGCGCGTGTATGCTTGACGACGCAGCGGTTTTGTGAGGATGTCCGCGAGTTGGTCGTCCGTGGGGACATGTGCAATGGCAATTGTGCCCTTTTGAGCCTGATGCGTGAGGTAGTGATGCCTCAGATCTATGAATTTTCGCCTCTTCGTCGGTCCCGTGCTGTTGGCAACGTGGATGGCGGACTGGTTGTCTATCATCAAGGGGGTCGGGGATTGCGGCAGCATGTGCACATCCTGTAGCAGACGTCGGATCCACGTGGTCTGCTGTGCGGCGGAGGTGGCCGCAATATATTCTGCCTCACAGGTGGATAAGGCTGTGATGTTTTGCTTGAGGGACCCCCAACATATCGGTGTGCCGTTGTATGTGTGGAGGGTCCCCGATATGGACTTCCTGTCCGTGATGTCGGCAGCGAAATCGGCATCGGCATACGAGACAAGGAGGTTCTGGGGTTTCTCTTTGTCTGCTTGCTTGCCGGCTCGGAACGTGAGGCCTGTGTTTGGTGTGCCTTTGAGGTACCTTATCAGGCGTTTTAGTGCGTTCCAGTGCCTTTGTGTCGGGTTGTTGGCCGCTACTGCTAGTCTGTTTGCCAGGAAGTAGATGTCTGGTCGCGTCGAGTCAGCGACATAGCGTAGGTCCCCAATGATCTGCTGGTATTTTTTGAGTGTGTGCAGTTGGGTCTCGTCTTTGTCTGTTGGCTTGTGGAGCAGGACACCGTCGCAGTATGGGGTGTCTTTGGCATTGCATTTGGCCATGTCCACTTGCTGTACTATGTAGTTGATGGCGTTGGGCTGGGAGATGTGAATGTCTCCATTTTGGTGTCGTGTCACCGTCCATCCGAGAAAAGTCCTGTGTTCCCCTAGGCGTTTGATGTTGTACGCTTTCGCTAGGGCTGCGGCGAACTCGTCTTTGAGTTTCGCGGTTGAGGCGAGTACTGTGAAGTCATCCATGCTGACAGCAGCAATTATATGTTCTTTGCCTTTTTTTTTGGACCAGAGGCACAGGTCTGCTTCGCTTTGCTTGAAGTTGGCTTTTCGTAGGAGTGTGAAGACTGCAGATAGGTATGTGTGGCCGGCGGATGGCGTCCCGTATATGTTCATGTTTAGTTTTCCGCCTTGGCAGGCATGTTTGTATGTGCCATTGAATCTGGCATGCTGTCTCACATATACTGTTTCACCTCCGTTGTGCGCGAATTTTTCGTGTAGGTACGCTGACTTGATATCGATGTGTTCGATGTGCATGCGGTACTTGGCCGCTATTCCAAACATTGCGCGTACTGTGGTCTTGTCGGCCATGTACGTTGTAGTTTTGGATGGGTCGTAGTGCTTGTGTGGTAGCATTTTGTCCCCCCTTGCAGAGCATCGGGCTTTTCTCGATGCAATTTGTCCTTTGCTGTCCCTCTTGTAACGATATCCCATTTTTAGGGGTATCAGTTTCCGTTTCTTGGGGATTTCGGAGTCGGGTATCCACTGTACTACGTTCATGGCGTCGAGGTTGTCGAGTTCGGCGTTGTGGGCTTTTTCCCATTCGGCGGCGTCGGGGTATTTTTTAGCCTGTCCTGGGTGAGCTGGGGCGGGTGTGGTGCCTGTTATCTCTGTTGGCGTGCGATGCGGGGTGAAGGCTTTCGTGGCATATGTGCGTGAGGCTACAGGATCGGTGGTGCTGTGGTATGGTTGGAAGTTGACGCATCGAACTCGTCGTGGTCTGTTCGTGTCGAGTTCGAGGACCATGATGTGGTTTTCGTCGATGCCATGGAGGTACCTGGCGGGTGTTGCCCTGTGGGCTAGTTTTGATATTTGTTTCCGATTTGCTAACTCAGGTACTGTACCGAGCTGTCCGAACAGCAGGAATTGCGGGACGTCGGGGGTGGCATTGGTCCACATGGTGTAGGGAAGGGTGTTGATCCCGTGGTGGAGTATATTGTTGTACTTGAATGCAGCGTCCCTTACTGCGTCTTCCCAGTGCGTCTTGGGTAGTGAGCTGTGGTGGAGGGCGGCTCTGGCTGAGTTCATGAGTGTACTGTTTATCCTTTCCGCGATCCCATTTTGTTGGGGCGTGTGTGGGACTGTAGTGCTGTGCATGACGTTGTGCGATCTGTATACGGCGTTGGCGCTGTCTGATACATATTCTTTCGCGTTGTCTGTGTGGAACAGTCTCGGTTTGCACCCTTTTCGTTTGTTGAGGGCTGTGAGGATGACATCCAGCCTGTGCGGTGTTTCTGCTCTTGATTGCAGGAAGTCGACTATGAGGTAGCGGGATCGGGTGTCTATTACTGTGAGTATGTATTTGTTGCCTTGCCTGGATGTGGGGTTGAATGGTCCACATATATCGCTGCTAAAGGCGGCTCCTACTCGGTAGTTGTGCGTCTTGGGGTAGTGCGGTGCGGGCTGCTGCTTCGCTGCAGCGCAGCTCGAGCAGGTGATCCTCGGTGGTCGTTGCCTGAGTGTGGGCGGGAGGTTTGGCAGGAGGCCGAGTTTGGCCATTTTCTGGAGCGTTGTTGGTCTGATGTGATTGAACAGTACATGATAGTGGTGGAAGTCCCTTTCTACAGCTGGGTGTGCTGGGGTGTGCGGTGGGGGCGCTGGGTTGTGCATTTGGTGTAGTGGGATTTTTTCTGCGCGTGGTGCGGTGTGGCCACGTGCTAGTGTGCGGCTTGGCTTTGGCGTCGCTGTCTTCTTTTTTTTTGTTTTTGGGTTGGGGGCTTTTTTGGTTTGGGTATCGGGTCTTTTGGAATTTTTTATTGACCGTGGTGGTATGGTCCGGGCTGCCATGCCGTTGCCTTTGGTTTTTGGGAGATCGAGGTAGTACATGCCTTTCCTGAAGCGTGCTTGCGCTACTATTTGTGGCGGGTGTGTGCTCGTGTCGAGTACAGTGGCCTGTGTGGGTGTGAACCGGACCTCTCCCCATTGCTCTGCTATGTCGTGAACTGATAGCAGGTTGGATCGCATTGCTGGGTTGGCGATCGCTGGGACTCGTATGTGCCTATTCGTACTGGTCCGTATATGTATCATCCCCTTGTGTGTGGCGGGTGGCGTGATGTTGGTGGCCGTGTTAGTTCGGATGATTTGTCGGAGTGGTTTCATGTTCGTCGTGGGTTTGCGAACATGTGACGGATGCGCTCCTGAGTCGAGGGCATACTGCTTACCTTCGCATATGTCCTCGTC